TGTGCCCTGACTGGGAATCGAACTGTGACCTCCTGGTTCATAGGTCGACACTCAATCATTGATCCATGCCAGCCGGACACGGGAAGATTTAAACACACAAAAAAATTTTTTTTAAAGCTGAGCTAGACCAGAGTAGGTGCTGTGGAGGAAGGGACAAGAGGAGTGGTGGTTAGAAAGATGTCTGGGGCCCGGCTGGCATGGCTCGGTGGTTGAGTGTTTACCTATGAACCAGGAGGTCAGGGTTCGATTCCTGGTCAGGGCACATGCCCGGGTTGTGGACTCGATCCCCAGTGTGGGGCATGCAGGAGGCAACCGATTAATGACTCTCTCTCATCACTGATGTTTCTATCTCTCTATTCCTCTCCCTTCTTCTTTGAAATTAATTAAAAGTATATATTTTTTAAAAAAAGATACCTGGGAGGCCAAGTACATAAGCCAGAGGGCTGAAGGGCTGGGAGGTAAGGGAGGTATCCAATTAAGATCCAGAGCTCTGGCCCCTGAACTAGTCAAACTGTCTGAGACAAAGACATGGACGAGCAGGTTTGAGGGAAGATGCTGATGCCAGTTCAGGACATGGAAGGTAAGAGGGAACCAGGGGACACCCAAGGGGCATTTTAGAGAACATTAGTATATGGGGCTAGAGACTTCTCAGAGAGAAGTGTTGGGCTGGGGACAGAGTTGTGGGGGTTACAGAGTCAAGACAACAATTAAAGCTGAAAGAAATTAAAGGTCATGGGGAGGGCAGGGGCGGGGACATGTGTGAAGATGAGAAACGAAGGGCTAGGAAAGAGCCCTAACTGGATGAGGAGAAGATATGCCTGTGAAAGACTTCTAAAAAAATGGTCTCCAAAAAGATAGCCATGTCTTAGTTCCTGGAACTTGTTAATGTTACCTTGTATAGCCAACGACAATAGCAACAAAAGGGTCTCTGTAGATGTGATTAAGTTAAGCATCTCGAGATGGGGAGAATATCTTGCATTATCCAGGTGGGCTCTAAGAGCCATCATAAGATCTGACATACATGGAGGAGATGACAATGTGAAGATAGATGGAAGCAGGGGTTGGAGTGATGTGGCCACAATCAAGGAATGACAGGAACCGCCAAAAGGCGGAAAAGGCAAGGAATGGGCTCTTCCTTAGAGCCTTTGAGGGTGCCCCCCACTGTCTTGCTGACACCTAGATATCTGCCCAGTGATACTGATTTCAGACTCTGGCCTCCAGAGCTGTGAGAGAATAAATTTCTGTTGTTTAAAGCTATCCAGTTTGTGGTAATTTGCTACAGCAGTCTTGGGAAACAAATACTAGAGGCTGAGCTCGATAGGAAGGAAATCGGAAAGAGGGGTGTCGGAGAAACCAAGGGAAAACCTTAAAGAAGGACGGAGGGGTCAATAGCACTGTATTCTCCATGTCGTCTAATAAGAAAAACACTGAATGGGGTGACACAGGGAGGTCACTGGGGACCCTAACCAGAGCAGTTCCTGAAGGTAAAAGCCAGACTGCAGTGGGTGGGAGATGGGGAGATGGAAACAAGGATGGGTGACTCTTTGGAAATGATAACATGGTTTCTGGAAGGTAACATGGGATCAAGGGATAGATTTTCTCTTTAGGTTAAAACATTTTTTTTTAATCTTTAAATTCTTTATTAGTTAAGGAATTACAATTTCAAACATGCACAAAAATAGAGAGTACCTCCCCCCCCCAGTAATCCAGCTTCAACAATGATCAATTTCTGGCCAGTGATGGTTCAGCCGCCCAGCCACACTTCACCCCACATGGGATTACTTTGAAGCAGGGGATGGAATTTTAAGTCGAGCAAAACAAAAGCATGTTAGATGCTTACGGGAAGGCATCAGGAGCAATAGATTAAAAGTGCTATAGAGAGAGACCGGGGGAGCACAGAAACGGACTACCAGCAAGCACCCTGAGGTGGCAGATGGGGCTGTGAACTTTGGGGGAAGAATTAGAATGAGACGGAGCAAACCGTTGGTTTGAGATAAGTACAGTTTGCATGGGGCAGGAGGAGGGTTAGTCTGGGGAAACGGAAGCCTCAGTTACACAAAATGAAGGAGTAATTTGAGAAACAGGGTTGGCTGAGACACAGGTAGAGTAAGCCCGGGGCAGGGGAGAGGTTCCCGTTAGTTAACCCGGGAGTTAGCCAGGAGGAACCGGGACATGGAAAAGGCTGGCCTGGAACGTGTTAGAGGTTAATTTCGGGGAAGGGGATACAGTAAAGGTCAGCCCGCAAAGAGAGGGGTTCACCTGGACAAAGTGGTGAAGGGACAGGTAAGGCCGAGGGCAGGTCTACAGAGTCCTCCTTCGCGATCTAGGAGTAATTTCCCAGACACCGCAGCCCCCCTCCCGCCGCCTCCGCGTCGCCTTGACCTCACCTTCATCAGGTTTCCTTGCTGTCGCCGCCGCGGCCGCCACAGCCTCCATCCGGATTTTCTACGCTTTTTAACCGCCGTGGTAGGCTCCGCACCGTCAACTCGGCTCCACGCCCTAAGCGGCCACTTCCGGCTGAGCACACTAGCTGGGGTTCCGATGCCCCGCTGCGCCCAGAACTAAAGTTCCGGGCAGAAGGCGGACCTTTCTATGCGCATGCGTGTCTCACTTAGGTTTCACTCTCCGTAGCCAGGAAGGAAAAGGCCACCCGTGTCAGAGGCCTAACACTTGGTTCCCCCCACCTCCAATCTGAACTGCTACGGAACTGGAATATCAGGAGGAAGATGTTCAACCTGTTCACTGCAGTGACTCCAAAGCCCGCATGCTTAATTTTGGGATGATCGGTTGAATGAGAAACCCTTCAGGGCCTCAAAGGGTTTGTGGTCTAGTTTAAACGCCAGCCTTTCCTTTTATCTTTTCACCATTTCAAAGAATATTTATTAAGCCATGTCTCTTGCTCTGTCATCACACCCGGCCTCCGATTAGCATGAGCTGGGTGGTGAGGGCTGGGACAATCTGCAGCTGTGGAGAAAAACGTGGCCTTAGGAAACTGCTTTGCCTTAGGTAGTAGACATGTCACCAGTGACCGTCCTGAATGTTCAGGGCTCTAATGGGCTGAGGGGGATAAGGGAGCTGCCACCCATTCTGGAGGCCCAGGGAAGGCTTCTTTTGGGAGGATGAGATGCCCCAGTTGAGACCTGAAAGATGATTTAGGACAAGAGTAAGGGCGGTAGGGAAGGGTTTAGGTAGGGCGAAGCCAAAGATCTAGAGAGCACACACATGGGTAGTTCTGGTTGCTGTAAAGACTTCATATGAAATGGGAATAAGTTCTAACTTGAAGGCTTTGATTGGGCGGCAGAGAATTGAGAACCTCATGTATCTTTATGCAAAATTCCACATACATGTAAATTTGGATCATGGCATTTATAGATTCAAGGGACTTGACTCCCCCCAAACCACTTATCCGAAGTGCAAAGGGGGAGCAGCAAAGATGAAGGTGAGGTCACCAGGGGCCAGGTATGGGGCCTCATAAGCATATTAAGTAGCTTGAGCCCCTTTATATCCTGTGGGGATAGGGCAAGGGGTTTCAGGGGAAGGGAGATCTGTGAGGAGGCTGGTGCAGCTATCTAGACACTGGCCAGGAGCAGTTTGCATTCCCAGCACGTACCCGACACAAGATAGATGGATACTACACTTAAATGTATCGAGGCCAGCAGAGGGAGCTGTTGCTCAACACATAGACCAGAGTTGGTAAGAATTCCCAGGCTAGAGGCCCTTGCTTAGCAGGGAGAGTAGGCACTTACCCTAGCGTCTTTTAGTCTAACTAGCCACCAACTTCCGCTCCTTATGTTTAGATGTCCCACCCTGACCTCAAAACGATTTGGCCTTTCTCCGTTTTGTAGCCTGTGTCCCTTCCACACGCTGAGATACTTCCTGTGAGGGAAGGGATGGAGCTAACTGGCTATTCCTGTGCTCCAGCATTGCCCCTCACAAAGGGCCAGGAACACAGGCTGTCCAGAGGGAATGAAGAAATGACTCAAACTGCTGGGGACGATGGGCTGTGGGAATGCAATCAGAATGTCCTTTAACCTGGCTCACTTCTATTTTAAGATATTTTCCCTTCTCTAGGAAGCCCTCACTACCACCACCACCACCCTAGGCTCTCATAGCTGACCACTAGGTGCTATCACCATTTGACGACAGGTCCGTGTTACTGGTGGCCTGGGAGCCCTGGGTGGGCAGGGTCCAGGGTTGCCTTGGCCATGCTGTGTCTCTCAGCACCATCCAGGCCCAGTGAGGAACAGAGCAAGTTCCTAACCTATTGGCTGGATAAAGCTCCTGTAATCCCCAATGGACCCAGACACACAGGCAGGAACTATCCTAAGTCCAGCTCACAGGCCAGGCCTGAGGTGGATGAGCAGTGATACCCAGTGATGACCCGAGTCCAGTCCTGGTCTCCCCCTATTAGCCATACTTACCCTCCACAACAAGGGATCTGGTTCCATATCTTCTAAACAAATTCTTGGAGATTTGGGACTATGAGTGGACTGGAAAAGGCAGGGACCAGAGAACCACTTCAAAAACGAACTAGTGGGTTTTAAACTGAGGGCCCCAGGTTTAAGGTGGCATCCCCAGAACCCAAAATGGGGCTAGGCATGAATCCCTCAATAAGTGTTTAATGAATGGTAAATAATGTCCCCTTGAAAAGGCCCCTCACCCCAATTAAAGGCCAATTGCACTTCAAGGTTTCAACCCTTATTCCTTCCTGCTAGGAGGTGCCATCTCATTTATTGAAAGAAAACAAAACAAAACAAAACAGGGGAAACACATTTCTTAGTAAGTGCAGTCTGTTAAAATCCTGTTAAAACATATGGGTCAAGGGCAAGTAAAAATAATCAGAGGGTCACTGTAGGAAAAACCTTTAGGTCTGGCACCTGGGAGATCTCTGGAGAGGAAGCAGTGGGAAAAACTTCATATTTTGAAGGAAAGGAGACACCCCTCCCCCATTTTCCCTCTCGCCGGCTTAATCCCACCAGAAACTACCAAGACGCCTGGAATAAAAGGTTTCAAGTTCAATAGTCACACTCTCTCCAAATACAAAAAGCAGTTACAATTCAACTCAACACAGAAGCTTGTGTGCAAAGTTAAGGGAAACTGAGACATTGTATAAAAAGTTAGGTTAAAGTTGATTTTGTGGTTTTGTTTTGAGGGTGTGGTTCTTCATTGGTTGCCTGAACTCAGCAAAGAAATGGTTATCCTGATGAAGTATCAACAGCCAACCCACAGTAAAAACAGACAAATTCTAAAAATTAAAAAAAGCATAATTACCAAAAAAATATCTGTCACTGCTTCCTCCCTCCTATTTTGGTTTTTTTTTTTTTTTTTGATTTTTAAACTTTTTTTTTAAATTTTTTGATTTTTTCTTTTAAATCCTGAAAAGTAGACAGTAAAACAGCTTCTGGAAGAATTTACAACCAACTGCATGAGGGTCTGGGAAGCTGAGGGTCTGGAGCAGGGCTGGGAAGAAAGGACAGAAAGGGGCCCTCCCCTCAGTCATTATAGCATCACTGCATGACCAAGGAAGGGGGTGTATTTAGTCAAGAAGGAGGACGGGAAGAAGAGGAGGAAGAGGGATGTGGGGAGAGAAAGAGAAAATAAAAGGTCATTGTTGTCTGTTTGAAACCAGAGAAAAATGCCCAGCCCTGTGGTTGAAGAAGCCCCTCAGAGGGGAGGCAGTGGGCTGGAGGGAGGCAGCCCTGGGATGACCTGTCCCCCAGCACCACAGGACCTGGTGGGGGCAGATGAGGGGCCGTGGCGGGCGCTGGTAGAGGAAGCGGTAGGGGCCTCAGGGGTACACTGGCTACTGAGTGCTTGTGCCCCCCTGTGTGTTCCCGGTGTAGCTCCCGTAGTCGTAGTTTCCGTAGTATGGCGGCCACTGGCCCTGGTTCTGATAGTACTGGTTCCACTGTTGAGCATACTACGGAGAAACCAAAAGTACAGAGTTGTCTCTCATCTAGACCTCCATTTGGCTCCTCCCCTCACCCCACTTTCACCCTGGGTAGAGATGGGTGCAGTGACAACAGCTGACACATGGTCCCCTGACAGAGAAATCAAGGCACCCAGGGAGGACAAGGGACTGACCTGATGCCACATGGGTGGGCAGCGAGGGACTGCAGCCTAGGTCTCCTGGCTTGCCAACCTAAGGCCCTTTTCAGGTACAGGTTAAGGACCACATTCAAAATACTCCATCACGGGTATGGTGGCCTAGCACCAACCCACCGGAACAGACACTGGCTATGGTGGTGAGGCAGGATCTGGAGGCCACTGCTATACCCTTTCCTTGCTGCACTGGGGAGAGGAGCTAGGATACCAGCTGTTCAGCAGCCAGTACAGAAGTGTACTGCGAGGGCACTACTACTGCAAGGCATCAGGTGAATTCCTGGCAGGCTGCTCATCTTCATGGGATAAGCAAGGACTCAAGTCTGGGAATATGCAACGCAAGGGGACCCTGAGAGTCACTCCATTCCATTGCCCCTAGCCCCCCTAACCCGTGTCCCCATTTGATACCTACCTGCTGATACTGGTTATAGCTGGGCTGAGGGTAGGTCTGTGCAGTAGGGGGTGGTGGTGGGGTGTAGGGGGCCGGGGTGTAGCCGCCGTAGCTCCCATAGTTGTAGGCAGGTGGTGGTGGAGGTGGAGGTGGTGGGGCTGTATAGCCCTGGCTGTAACCTCCTTGGTTGTAGGGTGGCTGGCTGTAACTCGGCTGGAAAGTGGGGGGGAAAAACCAGGGCTCTGTGAAATAGCCAGTTCAGCTGGGATGAAGGGAAGACTTCTGTAAGCAGAAGCCCACAAAGGAACTTCCCAGGTGGAGGTGGAGGACTGAGGGGGAGGTGGGTTAGCAACATGGCAGGAAAGGCAGGGTAAGATACAGAGGTGTTACGGACTCTGAGACCCTGGGGAGTTAAGTACAAGGCAGCTCTTGAAATCCCAGGGCCCCCCCGCCCCGTAAAACAAAAAAATTACAACAGAACTATTCGATTATCTTATTCTGTATTCAATAAGCATGTGAACACAAACCACTGGGTACTCAGTAAATTCTGAGAGTCATTATGGGAGGAGTTACTGAGAAAGAGTAGTGGTGCCCTAGCAGGTTTGGCTCAGTGGATAGAGCATTGGCCTGCAGATGGAAGGTTCCTGGGTTCAGTTCTGGTCAAGGGCACATACCTTGGTTAAAGGCTCAATCTTCCGCCCTGGTCAGAGTGTGTGGGGGGAGGCAACCATTTGATGTGTCTCTCTCACATTGATGTTTCTCTCTTCCTCTCTCTTCCTCTCTCTCTCTCTCCTCTCTCTCCTCTCTCTCTCCTCTCTCTCTCTCTCTCTCTCTCTCTCTCTCTCTCTCTCTCTCTCTCCTTCCACTCTCTCTAAGTCAATGGAAAAATATCCTACGGTGAGGGTTAACAAAAAAATAAAAAAAAATAGCTTATTCATATAAAAAAGAAGAAGAAAAAAAGGAAAGAAAAAAATAGTAGTGGTAATTTCCTAAGTGCTTCCCATGTCCAGGCTGTATCATTAACTAACCCAGTCCCCCCACCAGCTCTGAGAGGTGTACACTGTCAGCCTTGTTTTATTGAGAAGAAAGCAGAGACTCAGGGAGGTTAAATCACTGACTGGGCCCAAGTGGCAGAGAGCCAGGACCTGACCCCAGATCTATGGTTCCATGAAGCTATGATGCCACCAACCATCTCCCACAACAAGCCTTGGATGTGAATTTTATTAACAACTATAGTCCTTTATGAGAAAAAGGAGGTCCAGAGAGGTAAGGCAGTCCAAGATCACAAAACCAGGATGTTTTAGGGTGGGGTCTGAATCTGCACCTGCTCAACTCCTGTTCTAGAAAATATTCTTGTTAGACCAGGAGTGGGGAACCATTCATCTGTCTCTTGGCAGCTGTTCCCAGGCCTGGCATGTGAAAGGTATTCAGGAAAGAGCTGCACAATAAAAGGAGACATACTCTGGTTGACAAGGGCCTGTGCATTCCAGAGTCCGAGCACTGGCTTTCAGAGAACTGAAATTGAGTCTGGAGCTGCTCTGTTTGAAGGTCTCAGAGCAGAGGCCAAGTCCTCATCAACCTTAGGGCCTGTCTGCACATCCTGAAAACAACAGAATCAGCCCCTCCAGCCTGGGCAAGGGGAAACTCTGAGTGCTTTCTTGGGGATTCAGTGAGCCAGTGACACAGCCAAGAGAAATACACTTGCTGGATGAACCTGGAGATGGCGAGGGGCCATTCTCGTCAAAAGCACTGTCTGGGAGAAAGAAGGGCAGGTAGGAGTGGAGACGGGCTGAAGCAGGTGTTAGAAATTTCCCTGATCCCACCTCCTCTCACCTGTGGAGGGCTATAGCTGCTGACAGTGGGGGTGCTGGTACTGACACTCGAGCCAGGGATGTTGCTGTTCTTGCTGTAGCTGCCGATCCCTGGTGGGTTTCGAGCTGGGCTGTAACTGGGTGGTGGCGGTGGCTGCTGTGGCGGTGGCTGTGGTGGCGGTGGCTGCTGAGGGGGTGGTTGCTGTTGGGGAGCTCGACTGTAGCTGCCTCGGTTGTTGGAATTGTTGTTATCCCGGCTATTGTTACCCCAGCGGTTCTGGTTGTAGCTACCACCTCCAATGCGGTTGAAACCTGCATGGGAGAAACCAGATGAGAGGCCTGTCATTCTCAACTTGGGCCCCTCAAGAGCTGGGCTGACTTGGTGACTGCTGCAGCCCAGTATGGCTAGGCTCAGAGCAGCTCAGGCAAGTAAACAAAGCATCCTCTCTGGGATTCCCCAGACCCCTGCGTGCACTCTGCCGTGCAGCCCAGATAACACTTGGTTATCGCTGCTGACTGACAGGTTTGTCCTGGTTTCCAGTTGTGTCCTCAGCATCTCGATAGCTGTTGAATAATTCGGAAGCGATGTTCTGGAAGAGGGCTGCCAAACACTGGGGATAGTCCTCGTTAGGCTTGTCCAAATCAGCCAGTCTCTCCTGAACCGTCATGCAGTAGTTTCTTGAGCTTGAGACTCTTCCCTCTTCCAACTCCTACTGGTCTCTAGACCTTACTTTAGGCGCTCAGGAAGCGTTCCTGAGCCCTGCTCCCCTACAGATTGGGTCAGGTGCCACCTAAGGTCACAGTCCCGCTGGGCTTTCCTATTAAGCTCAGAATCCTTCTGGACTGTCACTACAGGGTGATGTGTCTGTCAGGGTCCGGGCTGTGTCCCCAAACTATGCAGCACAGACCAAAACATGGTGGGGCATGCCTGTTAAATTATGATCGTACACTTTATTGCTGATAGCAGAACTTAGTGACTAAGAACTTGGAATTTGGGCCACTTGACACAACTCTAGATTTAGTAAATTCTGGGTAAATTAACCTCTCTAAGCCTCTTTTTCCATTCGTTTTAAAATATATAACCCAAAGCAGTCCTAACATTTGACTTATACCAGGTCCTGAGCTGGGACCCAGGACTGACAGTAACTTGGTCTGGTTCTTCTTCTCAAGCTGATGGTCAGATGAGGAAGATGCACAAAAAAGGCCGGAAAGTGCCCAGGGGGAACAGGATAGTGGGAGCGTTTCCCTGAGACCCCGAGTCTGACTCATCCTGGTTCTCTACCAAAGTTCAGCCCTGGGCTGGTGCTAGGGAACCTGCACCTACTGACTGAATAAACGGTCACAAAGCCCGACCCCGAACCAGAAACCAGGAGTGCGAGAGCTCACCTCCTCGGTAGTTGCCTCCTCCACCACTGCCGCCTCCTCGGTTCTGAAAGCCGCCTCGGTTGCCCCCGGGTGGACCTCGGTTGTCATAGCGCTGGAAAGTGCCACCACCCCCACGGCCCCGGAAGCCACCACCGCCTCGGTTGTCAAAGCGCTTTTCAGGGGGTGGCCCAGCCTTCCGGCCTTCCTCGTTGTACTGCCTCACCAGCTTGTCTGCTTCTTCTCGCTGCAGCTCAATGAATAGTACCTCATCCAGGAAGTCCCCAACATCTGGCAACGTGAAGTTGGCTAGAAGGAAGGGAGGTCCCCAGAGGGAACAAATAGGTCAGTACTTTTTGAGGTGTGGCCCCCTCCACAACCACAACATTGGAGTAGTAGGCAAGAGACGAGACAGGATCCCAACCTTAGACTCTCTGACAACAAGCAGTGGCTAATGAAGACTTCTTCTCCATTTCCTAGAGGTAGCTAAGACCCACCAAACCAGTGTTGATAGATAAATGCTCCCTTCAGGAGCAGGCGAGGCAGGTAGAATCAGGGAGGCAGACTGAGGCTTGCTCACAGTCAGCTCACTCAATGGGAACAGAGGCAGGTGAGCATGTAGGTCTCTAGCATCTGCTCCCACACTTTCTCTCCATCATGCCCCAGTCCCACCTGTTTGAACACTTTGCAAAAGAGAGATATGGGCAACTTTTCCATTCACAGTTGAACTAGACAGGGAAGGGACAAAGCAGAAGCAAAGAAAAAAATAAGATTAAAAAAAAAAAAAAGGAGCGAGGGGAGGGAAAGGACCTGGTTGACATGTTCCTCTGGGAATCACTTATCTCCTACCTTTCATTTCTAAGACAGCGTGATCTGGGACATCCTTCCCTTCTTCGTCGGTTCGCTTTATTGTTCGGTCTTTTAAGTCCTCATCAGTGGGACAAATGACAATAGCTTTGCGCTGGAAGCCTTCAAATGGTCTCATTTTTCGTCTCTGAGCTGACCCATAAACATTTGTCTAGGGTAGGTGACAGAAGAGGCAAGAGATGGCACATTACAGGATGGTTTTCTCATCTGTGGGGCACTATGTTGGCCAAGGACTGAGAAAAGGGCACTAGTTCTAAGCAGAGAAACCCAAGAAACTGCTCTTCTTCACTTTTAAGATTTTTGAATCTACCCTCAGAAAATGAACTGACTCGGTAAAGCGACTGCTGACAGTCACAGGACAAGGGATTTCAATGGTTGGGCTTTGCACTTTTATTCCTCCTTGTTCTCAGAACTTTGCTTTACAATTATCCCTCTCCCACCAAGTAATATAGGTCTCATTTTATTTAGCTTCACAGATGTGTGTTTTACAGATTGAAGGCAAGACCCTCCACCAGATCATGACTCTCTCTATTGCAGTGGTCTGGAACAGAACCCATAATATCTCAGAGAAATGCCTGTACATGTTCATCATAAAAAATTCAGAGTACAGGCAGTCCTCGGGTTATGTCGGACTCGACGTACGTTGTTTCGTGGTTACATCGCCATCTCCCATATATTTATAAAAAAAGTTCCATCATTTTGATGTATGTACATATGTGCTTTATGTTTTTTATTATTTATTTACCACAAGTAAAGGTCAGGAATTGTTCTTTCTTTTAAATTGTTTTTACTGTTTCACTTCATTACTGCTGTGTATGTGCTCCATGTGAGTGACGTAGGTGCTTATGTAGGTGGTTTCCGACTTACGGCAAAAATCGCGTTATGTCGTGCCGTAGGAACGGATCTCCGACGTAACCCGAGGACCTACTGTACAAGGTATAAAGTTTAGAATAAGAATCTCTTCATCCACCTACTTCCAGTCTTATCCTAGAGATGATTAAATTTATGTCCTTTAAAAAAAAATATTTTTTTAAAATTTTTATTTATTTATTTATTTAAAAATATATTTTATTCATTTTTACAGAGAGGAAGGGAGAGGGATAGAGAGTCAGAAACATCGATCAGCTGCCTCCTGCACACTCCCCACCGGGGATGTGCCCGCAACCAAGGTACATGCCCTTGAGCGGAATCAAACCTAGGACCCTTGAGTCCACAGGCCGACACTCTATCCCAGCCGTGTGCAAACTACGGCCTGTGGGCCGGATCCGGCCCGTTTGAAATGAATAAAACTAAAAAAAAAAAAAAAAAGACTGTACCCTTTTATGTAATGATGTTTACTTTGAATTTATATTAGTTGACACAAACACTCCATCCATGCTTTTGTTCCGGCCCTCCAGTCCAGTTTAAGAACCCATTGTGGCCCTCGAGTCAAAAAGTTTGCCCACCCCTGCTCTATCCGTTGAGCCAAACCGGTTAGGGCAAAAAATATATTTTTAATTGATTTCAGAGAGGAAGGGAGAGGGGGAGAGAGATAGAAACATCAATGAGAGAGAATCATTGATTGGCTGTCTTCTGCATGCCTCTCCCTGGGGATTGAGCCCGCAACCTGGGCATGTGCCCTTGACTGGAGTTGAACCGAGGACCCTTCAGTCCGCAGGCCGTCGCTCTATCCGCTGAGCCAAACCAGGTAGGCAAATTTATGTCTTTCTAAAAACATCTGTGTTGCCTGGTCAGTTGTAGCTCAGTGGTTGAGAGTCAACCTATGAACCAGGAGGTCAATTCCTGGTCAGGGCATATGCCCAGGTGGTGGGCTCAATCCCCAGTGTGGGGTATGCAGGAGGCAGTAGATCAATGATTCTCTCTCATCACTGATGTTTCTATCTCTCTGCCCCTCTCCCTTCTTCTCTGAAACCAATAAAAATATATTTAAAATAAATTTAAAAATACTTGAATGGATATCATAATTAACAAGCCTCTTGTGACAGTTGCATAAATTGTTTTCACAGCATTGATTCTTTCATTCCCTCAGTCCTTCTCTGAAACATCGGCCTCACCCCCAAGTTTCTAACTAGTAAGCTTGACAAGGCGCAGATTTGCTAGTAATGTTCTCTTCCCTTCCTCTAGGTCACGGATGGGGAACCTTTTTTCTGCCAAGGGCCATTTGGATATTTAGAACATCGTTCTCGGGCCATACAAAATTATCAACTTAAAAACTGGCCTGTTATATTTGGTCAAACATTTAATTAACTCACCCCTAATGTCTTGGCAGGGCCAGGCCAGAACAAATGATCTTGCGGACCTTAAATGGCCCACAGGCTGGACATTCCCCACCCCTGCTCTAGGTGAGGAGCAGGTGTGTCCTAGGCTGGTGCTGGCAGAGACCAGGGCCCTAGGACACATCTGGGCAGTAGTAACAACAGCTTCCCTTTATTGAATACAGTAGGTCCTCAGGTTACATCGGAGATCCGTTCCTACAGTGTGACGTAACGCGATTTTCGCCGTAAGTCGGAACCCACCTACATAAGCACCCACGTCACTCACATGGAACAATGAAGTGAAACAGTAAAAAAAATTTAAAAGGTAACAATTCCTGACCTTTACTTGTGGTAAATCCTATATCATAAAAGGGTAATATGCAAATTGGCCCTAACAGCAGAACTACTGAGAATGACCCGTCACTATGACACACACTGACCACTAGGGGGCAAATGCTCAACACAGGAGCTGTCCCCTGGAGGTCAGTGCGCTCCCACAGGGTGTGTGCTCCACAGGGTGAGCTCCATTCAGCCACAAGCCGGGCTGACGGCTGTGAGCGCAGCAGTGGTGGTGGGAGCCTCTCCTGCCTCCTGGGCAGCACTAAGAATGTCCAACAGCGGGCCTAAGCTGGCAGGTGGACATCCCCTGAGGGCTCCTGGACTGCGAGAGGGTGCAGGCCAGATTGAGGGACCCACCAAGTGCATGAATTTTTGTGCACTGGGCCTCTAGTAAATAATAAAAAACATAAAGCACATATGTACATACGTCAAAATGATGAAACTTTTTTTTTTTAAATAAATAAATGGGAGATGGCGATGTAACCACGAAACGACGTACGTCGAGTCCGACATAACCCGAGGACCTACTGTATTCAATAAAGGGAAGCTGTTGTTACTACTGCTCAGATGTGTCCTAGGGCCCTGGTCTGTGCCAGCACCAGCCTAGGACACACCTGCTCCTCACCTAGAGTAGGGGTGGGGAATGTCCAGCCTGTGGGCCATTTAAGGTCCGCAAGATCATTTGTTCTGGCCCTGCCAAGGCATTAGGGGTGAGTTAATTAAATGTTTGACCAAATATAGCAGGCTGATTTTTAAGTTAAAAATTTTATTTGGCCCAAGAACAACGTTCTAAATATCCAAATGGCCCTCGGCAGAAAAAAGGTTCCCCAACCCCGCTCTAAACCAATATCCAAGTGACCCTGACACACACACCAGGCAAAGATGTTCTTCCCTACTCCCCAGGGAAAGTGTCCCCACTTTCATTAAGGAGAGGGAGAGAATGTGTGTGGTGGGCACACAAATGCTGTTAAAAAGCACATCAGGCGCCGAAACCGGTTTGGCTCAGTGGATAGAGCGTCGGCCTGCGGACTCAAGGGTCCCAGGTTCGATTCCGGTCAGGGGCATGTGCCTCGGTTGCGGGCACATCCCCAGTGGGAGATGTGCAGAAGGCAGCTGATGGATGTTTCTCTCTCATTGATGTTTCTGGCTCTCTATCCCTCTCCCTTCCTCTCTGTAAAAAAATCAATAAAATATATTAAAAAAAAAAAAAAAAAAAAAGCACATCAGGTTAGAGGGGAATAGTCAAGTCCCTCTCCCTACTGCTCTTCCTGGACTCTACGCCTAAAAAACCGAGAAGGGGGCATCTGGTCATAAGAAGATAGAATTTGGCTTTCTCCAGCTAAATAATGAGTTTTCTCTTGGCACAAAAGCCAGAGTGGATGGATGCCAAAAAGAATGTGCCCCCAGACCATTCCCAGGGTCTATTTGCCCATAAGATGTGATCCTATTTTGACTCCTTTGAACCCCGACGACAGAGATAAACACCTCCTGGAGGGATTCTATGGGGCAGACATGCTGTGTCAATGTCCTAAGCAATACTGCCAAGAGGGCTAGTCCCTAAAGTTTCATGGGATGGGAGGAATGGGGGTGAAGCAGACTGGACTCCTAAAGAGCTGGCTTCTGTTCTGAGAAGTGGCTAGACTCTGAGCAATGCCTCGTCAGACACTCTAGAACTGAGGTGCAGAGAACCCTCTTGGTTACCATTTATTAGATGGCACCTCCCTTGCCATACCTCTTGGCTTGGGGAAGGGAAGAGCGTCTAAACCACACCAGCAGGAATACAAATACTTGCCTTTCCTGGAAAAAAGGGAGTTAGCTGGCGGCGACTGTTGCCACAGCAAACACAGTGAGGTCAGAGACCCTAGGTTGGCCCAGGACTGTCGTGGTCACTGGGGGCTGCTAGTGTCTGTTGCTAAGAGAGACCAGCACAACAGCTGGATCAGCTTTTCCCAGCCGTGTGAGCTCTCTCTGCCTACCTCCTACTTCTCCCAGTCCCACCCAGCTTGAAGCTGCTGACTCTCAGAAGGTATGCTGGGGCTGTGTTCCCTGACCCCGGGCCACCCCCAATCTCCAGCAATGTCGGCTAAAGGATAGGAGTTAGGTTTCTCAGAGGAGCTGGTTGGGCAGCTTTGGTGCGTGACAGCCTGGGGGAGTAAGGGAGGAACACAGCATGCTGCTCACAGCCCAGATTCTGTAAGAGTCCCACTGTCCTATGTCCACTTTCACCTGTCTCCCTATCCATAGCTCAGTGGGGTCAGGCTGGCAGTGGGAGAAACCTGGCTGAATCCCAGTAGAACAAATTTAAAGCTGGTGACAAGAGTTCACTCTGGGCTCACAGTAAGGTAAACCCAGTGGAATGAACCCACATGTAGGGTGAGAACTAGCTGGAATGTTACTATGGAACTGGCTGAGGCCCTGGGAACAGGGAGGGTGGAGGAAAGAAACACCCTTTTCTCTCAATGCCTGCCAATAAGAGGTCTGTGCCTCTGCTTTATACCTAGGTTTGTTTCAGACAAAGGCGTGGCAAGGTCAATAGGGATGCAAAACAGGACTAGAACCACACATTCTGATGGTTGAGGTGAGGTTAGGGAGGTGAGGTTAGGGATCACTGCTTGGCCTGGCTCTGGACTGCTAGAGCCCTAAGGGAGCTCCTAGCCTGCAGCCCTCAACTCTGCCACACAGAAGCCTTCTCAGAAGCCTCTAGGAGGGCAACTTTGTTGCCTCAGAGGGCCAACTCCTGCTGTGCACCAACTCTTGTGGGTCCTTGGTAGGCTAGGAATAGGCTGGGCAGTATCTCATTCTTGAGGTTTTTTCACCAGTAACAGAACCACTTGAAGCAATGTGGCCTACTTCCCCTTTCTCAGGTCTTTTAGTAGGCAGGCAAATTTAACATATCCCTCCCTGATGAAAACATAATTATGGCTCCTCACTGCCCACAGGACAAAGCCTCAATTCTTTTTATCATCCTCCATGTGCTGGCCTAGACATCCCACCTCCCAATTTCTCACCATGGCTCCAACTATTCTGGGCCGTGGCCATCTGGGAAGTCAGCAGAGACATGTTCTACCAGTAAATCAACAGCATGACTTTGAACAGGTTCCTTTTCTCTGAGGCCTGTTTCCCCTGTGATCCATCTCTTCTTTTTCTCCTCAGATGTTCCACAGCTATAACATACACATGATCTGAAGAGGATACTCAGGTCATCATGGAATGTAGGTCAAAGACCCAATAATACCAAGGGCTCGTGCCCAATGAGACATACCCTGGGGTAGGCGCTGGGGCCCTAACCATACATAGGCAGAGTCCTAGCTCACACAGCCTCACCTGCCTTCTGCAGGCACATTCTGCTTTTCTCTCAATAATGGGCATTACAGAATCCAACCTACATAATAGGAGATTCAGAGGAGCCAAATGCATGGAGGTCTGATCTCCTGGGAAGAACCAGAGAAGGGAAAAGATGAGCTCCAGGACTGCAGGGAATTCTATCTAGCTCAGGAGACAGTTATGGATCAACTTATCCCTCACAGCTAAAGCTAGTGGGGTGGGAAGGCCTGCTCTGAATCTTCTACACTGCCTCCCCTCACCCCCACCAGAGGGTTTCTTGGAACCCACGTTTGGGGCTTAAGCCCCAACAGGTAAAATCACTGGCTTCAGACCTCTTCCCAGGCTCGAGTAACCTATAGTTTGAGGCCCCAAGTCAATCCTCCAATCTATGGTTAACCAGAGAACCCTCCTCCCCCACCTTCAGAGTTTAGGTAGTTTTGCCTTACTGTTGGCCTGGATCACTTGGCCCAACCTGCATATCCCTCCATCAGGACAGCCCTGAAGACCAAAGTATACCTGGTAGAGCCCTGGACCCCTCCTATGAACAAGCCAGCACATACTCAAAAAACCAAGTGTGTTGTTTACAGAGCCAGCTGTACTGGCCTGGCTAAGGAGCTGGAGCCTGACCTCCAGGGATGGCCCACTTTTATATGCTGGATAAAAATGTTAGGATGACTTACCCCTAGGACTATAATCCTCCGCTACTGAGCCACACATTTGAAATGGGCTTCACAGCTAATTTAATCAGCAAACTGACAAAATGACAGGCAGGGAATACTTGCTGAGAATCCTCAGGGTGCTAAATCAACACTGCTCCCCCTTGTAAGACACTGAGTCCCACTGGTGCCAAGTCAAACTATAATTCCAAATGGCCTGACAACAATGAGACAAAGCAAGGCCAGGGTTAAAGAACGAAGTCTTTGAAGAAAGAAAAGGCTGGCTATATGCATTACTGATGGGGCTGAGCTGGGGCAGTAGCCCTGTTTGGCTTTTGGACTATCCTGTGCTGAACAGTCCCCTCCAGTCCCCAGAAATAAATATTTGAAACATTAGCTCAATTCGTTGTTTGCATCAAAATTTAGTATTAGGGAATCATGTACTGTCTTCTTCACATATGTGAGTCTTTAAAGGATCAATCCAATGGTTGCAGAACCCAGAGCAAATCTCACATGTCCACCATCACAGAAGAGGGCCAGGGTATGGCCCAGCCTTGATCAACTTTCAGTTTTCTTAGCATGGCTGTTTCATTAGCACACAGCAGATGTCCACTCCCAACACCTAACTGCCTGGCAAGACCATTTAAATTTGTCTAGCCCTGGCTGGTGTGGCTCAGTTGGTTGGAGCTATTGTCCTGTACACCAAAAGGTTGTGGGTTTGATTTCCAGTCAGGGCACAAACCTAGGCTGTGGGTTTGATCCCTGGTCAGAGCATGTGTGGGAGGCAACCCATCCATGTTTCTCTCATATCAATGTTTCTCACCCTCTCCCTTCTTCTCTCTCAAATCAACAAACATATGTAATAAGTTCAACAATAAAGATTAAAAAAATAAAATAAAATCAACAAATATATCCCTGAATGAGGATTTAAAAACTATAAATTAATTTGCCTATCAAGAACTATCACCCGCCAATAGCCTTTTTTCTTTTTGTCTTTAAGAACGAAGTTTTTACTATGTACTCCTTTCAAATGTTGGATATAAGGCATCATTTCTTCAACCGTAAACATAGATCACTAGTTTATTATGAAAGGCTGTATCTCAGGACCAGCCAGATGGGAGAGATGCATAAGGCACCGTTATGTGAGAAGGGGCGCAGAGCTTCCACACTCTCGTGAGCGCACATACCACTCTCCCACATCTCCACGTTTATGACCCCAAGCTCCCGCTCAGTTGTTTTGCATAAGATGCCAACTCCCATGCACAGGCAAATTGGTCCCCTGGACTTTCCAACCCCACCCCAGCCCCACCTTCACCAGGAGGCCTTGGAACCCCATAACCAAGTACTGGCACACAGGGAAGACACTCCAGCAAGGCGGCCAGGGCAGGCCTTATGTATTTGCACATTCACAGGTTTTTAAGAAAGCATGAATGCAAGGTTTAAGGAAACAGAGGCTTGTTCACAGATCCCCCAATACAGGATTTTGTACCCTCAGGACACATGTCCTTCTGTCTCATAGGGGGTAAACATGAGGAATTCATTACCCTGAGAAAGGTATCCTTAACTATGTTTGGGTCAATTATACTTTTGGGAATGTTGAAAGCCACAGATAATCTTCCCATTCTCAATCAAAACTGTCTAGCTTTTTTGTTTTTTAAAATAACATGCTTGCACCTGCATACAAAATTGTGTTTAATATCAAAGGTTCCCAGATCACCTGATATGAAGAACCCTGATCTTAATTTAAACACAGTATAAAATATGTGATTTAGATATGTACCTGACAGTCATAAAACATGCTAAGAGCAACTGGGACATACCTATTCTGTAGAGTAATTAACAGTAATTTCTAGTTACTATGTGCCAGGCCCTGTGTTAGGGATGGGCACCATTATAATCTCAATTTTACAGACCAGGAGACTGAGATTTGAAAGATGAAGCCAGTTGCTGCAGACACTCAGCTAGTAAAAGAGTTGGGGTTTAAGGCCAGGTCTGTCTGGCTCAGAAACCCATGCCCTTTCCATTTCATTAAATGGCCCTTACCTGATAATGTTCTCTTGGACTGCTAAGAACATGAGCTAGGCCTGGATCATGGCCCCAGACCCCACCCACATACAGGGCTCAGAGAGCTGTACTAAGAGCCTGGGACTGTGCTGTCATGTATGACTGACCATCTTACCAGCACTGCAGTCCACGAGCATTATGGTGAAAAATAAAAGGACAAGAGGGTAATATCCAGATACCCAATAGGCTTCGTCCCTCTCTAGGAGCATCATGGTCACCAGTAAGTACCTGGTCTAGGATATAGTTGCGTTTCTTGCGGGCAGCAATCTGGATGAGGCGGTTGAGGCACTGGGTGGCCTGCTGGATCAGGACATCCCAGCGGCCGGCATAGTTCCGCTGCCGACGTAGGCCCATCACCTGTGGATAGGAGGTGATGAGGAGTGCATGGTCCTGGTTGTAGGTCAGCAAAGGGGGTGGGGTGAGGGAGTTGGCTAAGGAGAGACCAGGGGCTGCCCTTACCCGCATCTTATCCATGATGGCATTGGTACCCAGTATGTTGTACTTCTTGGAGGGGTTGGAGGCTGCATGTTTGATGGCCCATGTGGTCTTGCCGGCAGCGGGAAGGCCCACCATCATCAGAATCTGTAAGAACATGATGGAGAGGCACTGAAGCAGTAGCAGGCACCACCCTGATTCGCTGGAGACCATGAGGGTGACTCTAAATCTCATGGCCATCTCCAGGAAATGAAAGCAATAGCTTCTACCTCAGTGTTGTTGGGGTTCAAAGAGATGAGGCTCATCAAATCCTCTTAGGCCTGGTATGGGACGAATACAAAACCAAGAGCTGTTATGAGCATTTACATTTTTGTTTAGCAGAATTCAGTGGCCTCTGACAGGGAAGGCCATGCATTGGGAATGGTACACAAGAGTGGGCACAGAAAGTGGTACAACTTTCCTGGAGTTTGAGATGGGGACAAAATCTATGTATAAGGACAAGCATCGTATCTAATCAGTGCATTTAGAATTTGCAGAAACCAGTTGCAACCGAATGCCCAATAAGAGGGAAATGGTAAACATAGGTATTTACAAAATAATGTTAAGTGAAAAGGGTTAAATATCAAAATGCTTATACCATAAGATCTCAATTATAAATGTGTCTGTGTATGAAATGAGCACTTAGCACGGCAAAAAGAACAAGATAAAATCTAAAACTTTGGAAGTAAACTTATTTATGACTGGTGGAATGAGAAACTTTAATTTTCTAGAATAAACATAAAGTCACTTATATATCAGAAAAAAAGTCTGGAAATAAAGATCACCATTACAGCTTCTGCAGCCAAATTATCCCCAAGGCCAGTTGTCATTTTTGTTCTTAGACAGCTTCGAGTCAGTGTGAGAAGCTGCACAACCTCCTTGAAGAACACTCACCTGGAAGTACCTTCATATCCTTTTCTCCTATTCCAAGATTCTGACCTTACCCAAGGAGCAGTGTGGCAATTTCCCTCTGGAACCTTCCCAAGATTTAAGTCTCTCATCATATCCCCTCTCTCTTTGGCCTAAACCATACCCACAGACCTCATGTCACTCTCACAGCAGCTTTCAACTTGGTCCAGCCCTGAGGAGTTAGGAGGGAGAGGGCCCTTTCTCTAAGATTACTCATGCAGGGAGGTGGTTTGCTTTCACCACACCCAGCTGCCATGTCTCCCCTCTGCCTTAGCAGTACGGTGGCCCAGGAGAGACAGCCATTAATTTAGTCTTCCAGGCCCACTCACCTCACACTCTCCCTTGGTCTTTGGTCCGACAGTGCCCCGGATCCGCTCACTCAGGGGAAGGTGCTGGATGAATGTAAAGCCAGGAAGGACAGAACAGTAGGGCTCTGCCCTCTGCCCGAAGTTGAACTCCACTGCACAATTCTTCACCAGCACATGAGGGTAGAGGGCCTGGCCCCCCAAGGCTTCCTTCTGAATTCGGAAAGCAATGCCCATCCACTTCCCATTCTTGGTGAAGGAAAGTTCCACGTCATTTCCACATTCAAAGTCCTAGAAGAAAAAGCAAAGGAAGAGAACCTTAAGCCAACGCTCAGCTTGAAGGCACTGGGAACCACAAGTTGGAGAGAGCAGATGCAGAGAGAAGAAATACAGCCAGCTTCCCTGATTTACCTGTAACCCCACTTCTCAACATACAGATACAATTGGCAGCACCAGGGAACAGCTCAGAGAATGTGTCCCCAAACCCTCCTGGTTTAAGACCCAAAGGCTGGTGGCTATGAAGCATGTTATCTTAGGAAGGCCCAATTATTTAAGCCTTGTGCCTAGCCTGAGAAGATGAAGGAACAGGCAATCCTGTCCATCCTCAACTCAAGAGCAGTCTGTGAAGATAACAGATGGGAAGAAAGCCACGGCAGTCAAATCCAGCTCCACAAATGAATTCACTTGTTGGTTTGACACATGTTCTCCAAGTTTCTGCTCTTCCTAGTATGAATGTCTATGTTGATCTGGGCCTAACAAAGGACAGGGCCTAGTGGGGAACCAGATAAGGACACTATCTTAATTGAGTACAAGTGCCTACAGAGGAGCAAGATTCTCTGAAAGGTGGGGACCTGTAAGCCAAGTCCTAAACAAAATGAAATAAGCCAAGTTTGGGGAAGGGGGAGAGAGCCATAAAGAGAAGTGTTGTTTGTGTACAAATACGGCAGTAAGAGAACACAGGGTCAGACTGGCTGAAGCATAAAGGACGAGGGGGAAGTGATTTCAGTATACCTGGAGAGCCAGGCAGTGACCAAATACATTCAGTAACTCTTCATTGAGTCCCTACTGAGCAGCTGAAGTTTAGTGGTTAAGATCCTGCTTTGGAAGGCAGGCTATTTCAGTTCTACCATTTACTATCAAAAAGGGAAGGTCATGATAAGATACCACAGTGCACAGGGTTGTTCTGAGGAATAAGTGGGTTAGTGTGTTTACTCCATAGTGAGGACAAAATAGGGGTTCTCACTCCAAGATGCCAGGCACCATGCTGGGCTGGAGTGTGAGATGGAGACATGGCTCCTGCCTTCGGCATGTGAGGGTCTCTCTGTCACCTTAGGAGTTAGAGCTTTATGCTGATGGCAGAGCAGAGCCCCTGACCTGTTTCAAATATAGAAGTGGCCTGGTTTTCAAAACTGTTTCAGAAAGATCACTTTGGGTACAGGATAAAGGTTTACAATTAAGCTCAAAACCTGGAATCAGTCAGCAGAGTGAAGCAAAGTAAAGTTCAGGGTCCTGATTTAAAGTACAAGATGTGGTATTCTTTTCTTGCGATCTGCCCTTTAACAAAGTGAAAGCCCTTTCTCCCAAGGAGTTTTCTCACCATCCTCCTCCGTGCTCACAGGGCACAGCTCTATACAGTCCTTCCTATCTGTCACCTCAAAGTGCCTACACAGCTCAAGACAACTCAAAGCAGACATGCAAACATTTGCCAGATTAAATCCTGCACCAATCCCTGTAGCATGGTCTCTGCCATTTCTTCTCACCTGAGCATAAATGGCCTGGTCACCTTTGTTCTAACATGAAAATAAACATCATGGGGATTAACCTTCCTTATGACCACCAGCGTTATTATAGGAACTTATATTACACATAAACTACGTGATAAATCTACTAATGACAGGGCCTTCTGTTCAAGAGGCAAGTGTAGTCCTATTACTCTTGCTAAAAGTCCTCGTGCCACAATTTTTAACACATATATGAAACAACTCATATTTGGGCACAGAGCATTTTTGCCTTCTTTTTTTTTTTTAAATATATATTTTATTGATTTTTTACAGAGAGGATGGGAGAGGGACAGAGAGTTAGAAACATCGATCAGCTGCCTCCTGCACACCCCTTACTGGGGATGTGCCCGCAACCAAGGTACATGCCCTTGACTGGAATGGAACCCGGGACCCTTGAGTCTGCAGGCCGATGCTCTATTCACTGAGCCAAACCGGTTAGGGTCATTTTTGCCTTCTTAATCTCACTTAATTCTTTATAACAACCTGCAAACTATGCTGGGGAAGAATTATCTCCATTTTACAGATGAAAAACTGAAGGTCAGTGCTTCGTGAAAGTCACACGACTTTAGTTGTTAGTGACAAAATTAGGTTGAAAAATCAACTTTACTAATTCTCATTTTAATGAAAATGGGGTAATATAAAAAGAGAAGGAGCTAATGAGTGGTTGCTATGTGTCAGAAACTATGCTATGTACATATGCATTGCCTACGATAGAGGCAGTATCACTGTTCCCTTCATACAGATGAGGAAACTGAGGCTAGAGATGGTGATATATCAAGGTCACATGAATTATTAGTGGACATGGGATTCAAACCCATGTGTTCTTTGTCAAATCTAGCTCTTAAACAAACAAACATCTATTTAAGTCTTGTCTCTGCTAGCTATTAACTGTCTAGCCCAGGGGTGGGCAAACTTTTTGACTCGAGGGCCACAATGGATTCTTAAACTGGACCAGAGGGCCGGAACAAAAGCATGGATGGAGTGTTTGTGTGAATATAAATTCAAAGTAAACATCATTACATAAAAGGGTACGGTCTTTTTTAGTTTTATTCATTTCAAGCCCGCGGGCCGTAGTTTGCCCACGGCTGGTCTAGCCCTTGCCAAATTTTGCATTTGGGGGGGGGGGGGGGGGTCTCTGTTAAATAAAATTGTGTGTGTGTTTGTAAAAAAAAAAAAAAAAGTCCTGGTACCAGTCCGAGGCCCAATGACCCAAAGTCTTTAGGCATGGCATTATTCAGTGTGCCATTTTTGTAGCCTCACCTGACCCATTTCCTTGTTGTCATCCCCAAGACTCCACCTGAAATGGACTATACTGTTCTCTCTACCTGGAAGGCCATTATGTCCTTTTTATTTTGTGAATGTTGAGAACTCGAGATCTGACACAAGTGTCCTCCCCCAGCTTTCTTCAGGTCACGGATTTTTACATCTCCTCCGACTTCACAACCTGAGCCTTTTAAAAATTTATGGCATCCTTTGAACAGAGGGAATTGCACATGGAATCTTAAAAAAACAGAAGTAGAGATGATGTGGTTGAAGCAAGAGTCAAGGCCTGGAGTTCCAAACTGCCACACACTGACAGAACCTCACGCTCAGATGGGACAGAGTCTAGGGAGCATTGTCACAGATGGTGACATGTTAAATTGCTACAACCTCTTTGGAGTGCAGTCTTGGTGGTAGATATAAAAATTTAAAAATATATCTTTGACCCAGAAGTTATGATTTTAGAAATAAATACAACTATAGTCCCACAAAAACAGATATGTAATCTGCTCACTCTAGCACTGCTAAAAGTGCTCCAATGGGGAAGGGGGCCACACAGGAGACCATGTGTGGGAATACAAAAAGATCTTGAAAATACTCTGGTAAGTGGGAAAAAGATAAGCTGTCACTGCAGCATCAATCACTCCAGCAAATAACTTTCAGATCCACCAATAGAACTAAACCAGGGTAAACTGACACATCAGAATACTACACAGACTAGGCAAGAAACTAACCTAATGTCCACTAACAGAGGACTGATTATATAAATATGGTTATCTACATAATCACTACAGATTACACAAAGAACAAAGAAGTCCTCTAGGAAGTGATATAAAAAGATCTCTAGGATATACTTTTAAGAAAAAAAAAGATGTAGAATAACATGTATAAGCTAAGCTGCTTTAGATGAAGATCTAAAGAAGACTTTATGTTGTGTATCTTTTTCTATTTCTTGGTGTTTTTGCAAACCATGTGAATATGTGAATTAACTATTCAAAAATGTCTCTACCTCAGTTACATCTATATTATTTGTGTAGACAGGGAGAGATATAGCCAAGTTTTATTGTTAAATGGAAAAAAAATTCCAGGTTTAGAATAGAGTATAAACATGGCTAATTTTTAAGAAAACAGGGTTTTTATTAAAAATACAATGAGGTTACAAAAGATAAAGGAAGACTGAGAAACTGTTTCAGACTAATAAGATGTGACAAGAGCCCTGACCAGTTTGGCTCAGTGGATAGAGCATCAGCCTGCGGACTCAAGGGTCCCAGGTTCGATTCCAGTCAGGTGCATGTGCCTTGGTTGTGGGCACGTCCCCAGTGGGGAGTGTGCAGGAGGCAGCTGATAGATGTTTCTAACTCTCTATCCCTCTCTCTTCCTCTCTGTAAAAAATCAATAAAATATATTAAAAAAAAAAAAAAAAAAAAAAGATGTGACAAGAGAATGCAGTAAGTGATCCTAGATTAGATCCTGAACCAGAAACAAAATTGCTCCAAAGAATATTGTCAAGACAACGGACGGAATTTAAATGTGGATTGAGTTAGCATTATATCAACGTTAAATTTAATAACTACTGTGGTTAAATGCATGCTGAAATATCTAGAAATAAAGACATGATGTAGGCAACACACTCTCAAATAGGTCAGACAAAATCATATATATTTGAGAAAATGGTAAAGCAAATGTTAGAATCTGGACAAGACTCTATGAGGATTTTGGCAGCAGCTCAGGCACCCTCTATCTTGTTCTGTTTTACATCCACTCCTGTTTAGGGCTTTTCTTTAAGTTTAAAATTATTTCAAAGTAAGAGGGGAAAAAAAAAAAGAAAAAACAAAAAAAGGAGTACATGTGTACAAACCTGAGGGAGGGAGAAAACAAGACTCAGAGGAAGCATCCACCTGGGTAGGCACTCCTTGCCAGGGTTCCCTGGCACATTTTACAAACACCTGTAAATCCTAAAGATAACAGTACTAAGTAGGATTTACTGACAACACACCATGTGCCAGGCATTATTTTCAGTGCTTGATAGATTAATTTAATGATCCCACATGAAATTCTGAGGTAGGTGCAAAGATTCTCATTTAGAGTAGACTGAAATACAGGGAGGGTAAGTTGCCCATGGCTGTGAGTGGAAAAGCAGGGACTGGGGTTAGGGAGTCTGGTCCCAGAGCGGACAGCCAGGTCTATAGCACTGTGTGGGTCACTGCTGTTGGGGACTGAAGTTTGGCAGCAGCTCAGGCACCCTCTATCTTGCTCTGTTTTACATCCACTCCTGTTCTCCTATGAGGCAGTGCAATGTAGGAAGCCTGCCTCAACCAATGTGAGGTGAAGGAAGAGAGAAGTTTAGGGATGAGATGATGCCAAAGTGGGCAATTGCCAATGAGAGCAGACAGGCTATTTGGCAGCAAAGAAAAGCAAGAAATTCCTGGGTTTAGAAAATGTCACTCTGGTATCTAGGAATGGAGGAAGGGTGTGCAAACCAACAACCCGAAACCTCTTCAAGGTGCCATCTAATAGGTTTGCACAAAAGATCAGGCAGGTAGAATGGTAGATTTTTAAACAAAATGACAGCAAACGTTCCAATGTGTCAAAGAAGGACAAAGAGGTATGGCGAGAGTGGCTTGGCATGGTGCAGACAATGGACAGAGGTATTCTGGGGGAAAAAAGTCTGCAGGTCCACCTGATAGGACCAACATTTGGTTCTGCCAACTCCCACAGGCTGCCGGCACTCACCACAAAGCAGCCAATCACATCATTCTCTGCAAACTTGTCTCCGTAGTTTTCAAATCGGCTATTGGTGGACTTCTTCCCAGTGCCTCCATAGCCATAGGAGAAAGGCTCTTCGCCTGATGAAAGAAATAGGCAAAGGCAGGTTAAACCTGCGATGGTCACAACAGCCTTTATGGTTGTCACACACTTTTTAAAAAAAAATATTTTTATTGATTTCAGAGATTAAAGGGCAGAGAAAGAGAGAGAGAGAGAGAGAGAGAGAGAGAGAGAGAGAGAGAGAGAGATCAATGATGAGAGAGAATCACTGATCGGCTGCCTCCTGCACACCAGGGATCGAGCCCGCAACCCGGGCAATGTGCCCTGACCTGGACTCGAACCGTGACCTCCTGGAACCACTGAGCCATGCCAGCAGGGCTGTCACACACTTTTAAGAAAAAACAAACAAACAACTTTCTTTATTAGTTTACTAATCAGATGCTTTTGGGGGGAGGGGGAAGGTGAGGAAGATTCCATTGAAAGGAAGCCTTTCATTGCATATGCAGAACTCCTGAGGGCTTGATGGGTTTAGTGTTAAGTCTGTGAACAGGAGCAGAACTGAACTGTTCTGCACAGAAAGGGAGAATCTGGAAAGAAAGGGAGGGGAAGAAAAGAGCTGGACTAGAGGAAGGCTGTGTACTGAGATGCAACCCTTCCCTGTGACATTCAATATTCAGTAAATCTACTAATGGCATCAATTTTTTGTGCCAGGGGATTTGGGCAGCAATCAGCCAAGAGGCTGGGTTTTGCTTCTGGAAACCAAGAAGTCTTAACTCCTTGGAAAGACACTGGATTTCCTTAGGCTACAGAACTGGAGGCTAATGCATTCTGACTGAGACCCCAAGAGCCCTGGATGACACCTGGATTATACAGAGATCCTTGGCCAGGAACCCAAGGAGCATCCTGCCAGAAAAGCGAGAGCCAACAAGCTCAGTTCTTCTATGAACCAGTTGTGTGACCCTGGACAGCTGCTTGACCATTCTGAATTTTGTATCTTCACCTGTATCAACAACTCACCATTTACACCTTAAAACTTAGACAAAAAATAAAATGAGATGATATGCAAGTCTTAAACAAAAAACATTAATATGTATCAGAACAAAAGCTGTACACTCTTTTTGACCTAACATTTTCACTTTCAAGAATCAGTCTTAAGTTAACAGTCAGAACAATTATATCTCTCAGGTTTAGGAGGTTTTTAATTTTTCCTCTATTTGTATGGCCTAAATTTTTACAAGGAGCATATATTATTTTTGTAATCAGATGATTATGACCAAGGCAGAAGGTCTCAGCATTGGTCACTCAAATCAGTTATTTGGGGACAGTCATTGCGCCCTGGGGTCCTAGGAAAATTCAAAACCTCTCACAGGGTAGCCCTTGCCTCTGCCAACCAGTCCTGCAGGGCCCCACTGTTCTTTGTTTCACCTTTTACTCTGAGTTAGGTTCTGGACAGAAAACCCTAGACAGAACTTAACGGGGCTTAAGAAACTTATTTTTATTTCCAACATGGTTTAAGGACAGGAGACAACTAATCTTTTTTAAAGAGAACTTTGAACCCTCTCCTAAAAGATGGATACAGTTTTCACAGAAAAGTTGTTACATAACTGTGGTCCGTCCAGTTGAATTTTGTTGGCCCACACAGGAAATGGCAATATGTAATCCTTATGTCTGTTCCATCCCAGGCTAATTCTGTTGATTTCAACACTGGGAAGAGATTTTTAGGAAGCGCGAGAATCCAGGGATAGAGGTAACTGCTCTTCTCTGGACTGTTTGGCTGCCCTCCCCTTACCTAGCTGTGTGCTGCAGGAGTCAAGGGACCAGCCGATACGGACAACATGCGGGTCGGGCTCTGTGGATGGAAGGTGCTTCACGGAGATTTCCTCATTGATCTGGGGACAGAGAACAAGAGGGCACAGACTGATTCATTCTCTGGAGGCAGGTGGTTTATGAGGCAATATAGGAAGGAAGTACGTAACGCATTAAACAGTGATGACTTGCCCGGCCACGGTATGGCTTTGTGGTTGAGCATCAAACCATGAACCAGGAGGTCAGGGTTCGATTCCTGGTCAGGGCATATGCCTGGGTTGCAGGCTCAGTCTCCAGTAGGGGATGTGCAGGAGGCAGCTGATCAGTGATTCCCTCTCATCACTGATGTTTCTCTCTCCTTCTCCCTTACTCTCTGAAATCAATAAAAACCTATTATAAAAAACAAAACAAAAAAAACAGTGATGACTTTTGTTGTTGGGGAAAAGGCATCTAAGCTACTCTGAAGCCAGGTCCTCTGAAGGGCTCAGGGGAGTTCAGGACCACAGAGATAGGTTTTTAAAAATAGTTATTTTTATTTACTTAAATACTTTATTGATTTTTAGAGAGGAAGAAAGCGAAACATCGATGTGAAAGTGAATCATCGATAGGCTGCCTCCTCCACACCCTCTACCAGGGATCGAGCCTGAAACTTGGGCATGTGCCGACCAGGAATCGAACTGGCCCGACCAACTGAGTCATACCAGTCAGGGCTCAAAATATAGTTATTTTTAGTTCTAACACTTGCTGCAGGGAAACAAGTACTCATATTTGGTATAGATGGTAAATTGGTTCAATGTCTTTGGAGGGCGATTTGGGAGTCTCCATTTAAAATTGCAAATGCACAAGACTGTACAACCCAGCAATTTAGTGTGGCACTGTTTATATTATCAGAAACAAACAGAAAAAAATCCGTAAGGCACTGGTCACATTATAGCCCATCCAATGAATATGGCACACCAGATTATGAGAATATGATGCAGCAGTTAAAAAAAAAAAAAAAAAGGCCCTAGCTGGTTTGGCTCAGTGGATAGAGCATCAGCCTGTTCACTGAAGGGACCTGGGTTTGATTCTGGTCAAGGGCACATGCCCAGGTTGCGGGCTCCATCCCCAGTAGGGGGCGTGCAGGAGGCAGCCGATCAATGATTCTCTCATTGATGTTTCTATCTCTCTCTTCCTCTCTGAAATCAATTAAAAAAAAAAAGATAGTATGGTATGGCTCAGTGGTTGAGCATCGACCTATAACCAGGAGGTCACAGGTTCTATTCCTGGTCAGGGCACATGCCTGGGTTGCGTGCTCAATCCCCAGTAGGGGGCGTATAGGAGGCAGCCAATCAATTCAATGATTCTCTCTCATCATTGGTATTGCTTTCTCTTTCCCTTCCTCTCTGAAATCTGTAAAAATATATTTAAAATTGATGGGATAAGGGAGAACTTTGTGCATTTCATTGGCTGTGTTGCTCTATGAGCAGCACAGAAAACAACGGGTAACTTACAATCAACAGTGTCTAAGAGTCAATGAAAAGCAATAACCCTAGGCCTCAGTTTCTACCTCTAAAAAAATGGAGTTAACAGTTCCTATTTCATGATAGCACTGTGAGAATTAACGGAGATATCTGTGTAGAGCTTGGCACCATATCTTTTGCATGCAGTGTTCCATAAATATCAACTACCATAAATGTGTTGATACATAAAGGCAGTTACACAAGAAACTGTTGCCCTAGCTGGTTTGGCTCAGTAGATAGAGCATCAGCTGTAGACAGAAGAGTTGTGGGTTCAATTCAGGTCAAAGGAACATAACTCAGTTGCAGGCTCAATCCGTGGTCCCGGTAGGAGTGAATGCAGGAGGCAACCAATTGATGTGTCCCCCTCACATCGATGTTTCTCTCTGTCTCTCCCCTTCCCTCCCACTCTCTCTAAAAATCAATGGAAAAATATCTTCGGGTAAGAATTAACCAAACAAAAAAGGAAACAAAATCAACAAAAAAAAATTGTTAATACAAGTTATCTCTGGAGTGTACAAAGGGGACAGGGAGGATGTGAGCATAAATTTTGCACCTCCCCTCCCCCCCATACTGTTCTGTATCATTTGAACTTTTGTTAAACAGAAACATGTTATTCTCATAAACATAACCTGACACAGAACTGCAGAGAGATGATGGTGGAGGGTAGCCTGATGGCAGAACCCTTCTTTGCCCTGCTCTCCCTCAGGCTTCCCTCTAACTGGTGCTGCCTGAGTTCATTCTTTCTAGCTCAGTTTTCTTCCAAACAACTCCTTTTCTCAATTCTACAAACATGTCACCCCTAGAGTGGTTGGCTGTATAATATCTGGGTCAAATCCCACCAAGGAAAAATCTGCTTGATGAAGAAATGTACAGTAGGCCTGCTTTTCTGATATAGTGTTTAGCAATGGTATAGTTCTCTTAAGTTCATTATACTTTTTTAACATGAACACAAAGTCTATGCTCAATCAAATCTCTTAATACTGTGGTCTGGCCAAGGTGGCTGATGGCAGGCTATTCCAAAGGGTGAACCTGCTTTCTGCCCCTATCCCCTCTGTTGTTCCCACTCACCTTCATCTCAAAGCACACACGGCCCCTTCTGACCCCATAGCTGGCACGGGCTCCTGACCACAGGTATGCAAAGCCCTCAATTGTAAGTGGGTAGCCACTACTCCGGTCTCGGGCCACCTTGAAGTGGAGATCACAGTTATCTGTGGAGGAAAAAGCCTGGAGTTTGGTTGATGTTTTAAAGGTGCCAGAGACATGCATAGGCAAAAATTAAGTTCCTTCAGAATGTTAACAAGGAGTACACAAGCTGACACATTGTGGGGACAGGCTCATGAGAAACCAGCCACACCGCCTCGCCAATCTCCCTTTCAGTAGAAAGGGTATGGACTACTGCAAACTGGCCTGCACAGGATCAAAGCAGCTACTTCACATAGAAACTGGGGTCCTTCACCTGGATGGGGTCCAAAGACAGTCATTGGGAGGCACCTTTGGAAATTGCACACAAATGTCTTTTACAAAGATATACACTTGTTAGGGTCCATATCCTCACCAATTTCAAAGGATTTTATATTCATAAAAAATAATCCCCACTACCATTCACTTCAACATCTCCCTGTGCTAACACTATCAGTAAGGAAGTCAGACTCCCACCTCCAACATCTGCACAAATATCTGACCCTGATTCACACATGACAAGGCACATAGGCCCCCACCTCCTCTTGTAGGCCTAGGACTCTCCTGCTGTAGCTCGGACTCTTCCCACTCAAGGAGCCAGCCATGCCTCTAAGAATCTTTCCTGAGAGAATCTTTGCCCTTTTCTCTTAAAGCAGCGGTTCTCAACCTGTGGGTTGAGACCCCTTTGGCTGTCAAACGACCCTTTCACGGGGGTCACCTAAGACCATCCTGCATATCAGATATTTACATTACGATTCATAACAGCAGCAACATTACAGTGATGAAGTAGCAACGAAAATAATTTCATGGTTGGGTCACATGAGGAACTGTATTTAAAGGGCCAGAAGTTTGAGAGCCACTGTCTTAAAGGCTAAATGCCACGGTCTGTACATGTGGCATTTGATCAGATGCTGCTTCATGGACCACTGCCACCCAGCACTTTAAAAATGGCTTTATCTTCTGAAAGCATGTAGTCACTGCTCTATAAATATGAGCTTTGCAACAAAATACACGAACTGTTATTTACTTTTTGCTGTTGAAAAGTCCAGTGTTTTTAGACCTGGGTGCATTTAAAAATTCAGATTCACAGTCTCTACCATTTTGCTTCTGTCTTAGGTCTGAAGAACAGGATCTCTATAATCATTCCTCTAAGTGTTTAGATACGTAGTTAAGGGGAAAGCCACTTATCCAGTGGAAAGAAAACTGAACTGGCGGACAAAGAGCAAGGCCGACCAGGTTAATGCCTCAGAGGACAAAGCGGCATTGGTTTCACCAGGAACGTGAGCAGCTAATGGAAACTGGTCGCCAAAGAGTTAAGTTTCCCCAGAGGCACTCAGGTTCCCTTCCTGATTAGATTAGAACCCCCAGTGTGTACAGGGTGTTCAGGGTTTTCCAAACTGCTCTCTTATCCTTCCTCTGCAGAGTGTCACTGGAAGTCCTTTGAGGTATTAGAGTATGAAGAGAAGCTCAGAGAAATAGAACGACTTGCTCAGGATTCCACAGCTGGAGCCGGGAGCAGGTCTTATCTCCAGACCAGCACCCTATCTGGACTTACACTGGCTCTGGATGGTGCTGGGCAGAGATTCTGTGAAGGCCAAGGCAGTTTCCAAATAGTAACTGGAAGGCAGAATCAGACAGGCACACAGAGACTCACATGTGTCGATGGCAACAAGGGTGTCATCAAAATCATCTTCATCCTCTTCAGCAGGAGGCTGAGGAGACCGACCCCTGTGTCAGAAATAGGGGTTAAGTCACATAAGAACAGCTGAACGAGTGCAGAGGAAGAGGAATGAAGGTTCTGCTGGAATGTACAAGTGGCCTTCCCGGATTTTAATTTGTTCCCACAGAGGTTAGCAAAATACCCCCCCCCCACACACACACACAAAAAAAAACCCCACCCAACCCTCTGTTAATCCTACATCTTTGCAATGAGAGCAATGATTGTTAACTCCTGGTGGTGGTGGTGGTGGTGGTGGGGGGGGGGGGGGCGGGCGGGAGGGGCGGCAGGGATCAGAGAGGGCATGCTCTGCTAAAGAGGGCCATCAGAGTCATTTAGAGAACTTTTTCAAAGGAGACTCTTCTCTCACACCCCAAGATTCTGACCCATAACCTCTGCATGCCTCCACACTGAACTGTTACTAAAGAGAGGCTGTGGTAGCCCAAAGGGTACTTGGGCAAGGAAGGGGGATGTGCAAAGGCGTGGCTAAACCTCAGTAATAACAATGTGTTCACAAACCAGGCTTCCTAAAAGTTCCCATCTGAAAGGATATGTAATGACCCATATTTTGTCTTTGCCTTTCCCCCTTTCCCCGGGGTTCCGGGCTCCATCCCCAATAGGGGGCGTGCAGGGGGCAGCCAATCAATGATTCTCTCTCAACACTGATGTTTGTATCTCTCTCCCTTCCTTTCTGAAATCAATTTAAAAAAAAGTTTTGTTTTTTTTTAAAGAAGAAGGACACTATGCAGGACTGCAGGGCAGTGGGGCAAAGGACTGAAAAGGTAGGCTGGTATCTTACACGTGAAAGGCTAAGATGTTTGGGCTTGACCCTGTAGTAAGAGGAAGGGCCAAAAGTTTTGGGAAGCTGAATTTGATAGTGAGTGCAGGAAGAAGTGGGGGGAGAGTGCAAGAGCAGCGAGAACAGCGAGAACCCTGCTCTGCCTGCTCCTCTTGGTTAGTACAAAGGCCCTAGCAGGCACTGGACTACAGACATAGAGACCTACAGGAACAAGAATGACCACTGCATCACACACTCACCTCCTATCTTCTCGGTGCTCAAAGTACCCCCTTCCCCGGTTTTCTTCATAAGGCCTCTTGCGACTCTGGAATTGTTGTCTGTCTGGCTTGAATTGAGATGCTTCAGGGGGGAGGAAGCTGGTGGGTGGTTCTTGCTTCATCTCTGTCTTCCCTTCCACTGTCGGGACAATTCCAGATGGTCAAGACATTCAGAAATTCCTCAATTATCAGTTTTCTGGTCCCCTTTACCTGAGGGCAGTGATGGCGAACCTTTTGAGCTCGGCGTGTCAGCATTTTGAAAAACCCTAACTTAACTCTGGTGCCGTGTCACATATAGAAATTTTTTGATATTTGCAACCATAGTAAAACAAAGATTTATATTTCTGATATTTATTTCATATATTTAAATGCCATTTAACAAAGAAAAATCAACCAAAAAAATGAGTTCGCATGTCACCTCTGACACGCGTGTCATAGGTTCACCATCACTGCCTTAGGAGATGCTGGCAGGATCCTGACTGCACTGATAAAGGGCTGGGCACAGGCAGCTTGCTGAATTCAATGGAAGCCTGCTAAGGGAGCCAGAAGGCTGTACTAAAGAATAGGGTTAGGGCAAAGGGAGGTCGGGGATGCCTGGCCAGCACATCAGCACTGGCAGTTGATGAAATGAGAGTTGTCAGATAATCTTAGGTTTCATGGGGAGGCAGAGGGGACTTCAGCACTAAATAAGAACAAGCTCTCTAAAGACCGACCTAAAGCTGGCATAGCTGCCTCTGGCTAATTACAAAGGGCCTATGACAATTGGCAACCACCTTGGCCTGCACGCAGGGGGAGGGATCCCGAGAGGACTTCTAAGATCCTTTTAACTTGAGATTTCAGGAGTCCATTAAATTTCTCCTCCCAAAGAATTGCTCCATCTCAGTTCTTACAAAGCTCCTTCAATCTTACAAAGGAGGGGGGAAGATCTATTCAACAATGTATTGTCATTTTGCAGCTAACTCCACTGGCTTTAAGCACTCAAGAAGGGAGGGTCTTCACTTAAGCCAGCCCTTAGTTGTGATGGCCTCAGTGAATCATCCTGAATAGAAAGAAAGTCAGGATGGGATAACATGCTGTGGACCACAGGAATGTCCCAATCTTAGGCAGACTCTCAAGAATCAGTACCTAATCCAGAGCAAACCCTGGATTCAACCTAATCTTCCTACTTCCACAGCATCTCAGTATGCATGATGCTGTAGATCACTTATATTTACTTGTCTCAGCACGCAACCCAAGACCACCTTGGACCATGCCCTAGTTTGGGCATGCAGACCAAATTTCTCAGAGAAGTTCTCCAGGACAGGGATGGTGTTCACCCATCTGAAGAGGGCCTGCCTGGTTCTCAGCACAACACTGAGCTCACAGGAGGCCCTGATAAATGTCTGTTGATAATAGCACAAAAAATACTCTCCTTGGGCCAAATGATACCACAAGTCTCACAGAGTCTGACATAAATCTGCAGTTTAACCTACATTTATTAAAATCCTGACCCACCCACAAGAAATGTCTGGGGATTTCACTTTATGGATGAACCAGAATGGAATTAGATAGACTCAACTAGATTCACTATGGCACTGGGGCCACAAAATAGTGAAAGGAGCACAAGACTAGGAGTCAGTCCAGGCTCTGTCATTACTCAAGAGTGGGACCCAGTTTTCCAAACAGTAGGACACAAACGCAGTGTCCCAGGAGCCAATTTCCTGGGTTCTAACCCAAGCTCTACCATCAGACAAGCCATATCCCCAATCTATAAAACAGGGAGAGAACTGGATTACATGTGTTCCCAAACTGGCATAATGAAAATCTTTGTTCTGCAAAGATATATTTACATGTTTAGGAAATCCTAAACCACATGATAGAACTTTTTTCAATCCAGGACTTCTCAGGGCTTTTAATGCTCTGAGCACAGTGACTTTCCCAGAGGTGGTAAAGTATATGCGTGTTTCCAGATGTTTGGGCAAGAAACCTTTTCTGAGATGTCCCTAATGACATCTCCTGGAACAATGTTCTTCAGAGCATGGGAAATACCTGACTAGATTTAGACTAGATTTAGAAGGTCCTTTCTGGCTTCCACATTCAAAGATTCTAAATAAGACCCAAGTAACTGCTTCCAGGTCTAAATTTTCCAGGGTGCTGACACCAACATCTGAAAACATAACCATGAAGACTCCCCTCTTCTAACACCTGGAAGCGGGACTATGTTCTTTCTTTTAAAAGAATCTTGCCAGAGTGACAAAGCCCAAATGGAAGATGCAAAGTCTCTCTGGAAAGATGGGATCTATGTAGAGGGTAAGGGCCATGTACACAGGGTGGGGCAAAAGGAAGTTTACAGCTGTGAGCATGCAAAATACAGAGTTTATTCTTATATCATTATTTATTAATTATTGTATTTTCCATACAAAAAATTGTAAACCCACTTTCCCCCTACCCTATAGATTCCATTTCCCTCAAAAGAGATGTACCATGTGTACTTTCCTACCTGGGCGGTAGGCCTGCTGCTGCTCCATTTCCAGTGGTCTTCTCTCATAGCCTGACTCGTTTTCTTGTTTGATGACCTGAGTCTCATAGAATTGGTTCTGCCTGGTAATATTGTCCATGACATCTTAAAACAAAAAACAGACATTTAGAAGGGTTCTTCTTGGGACTAGAGGTGGCTTTTTAATGCTACCCTAGGGACAGTCAGTCTGCCAGAGGCTAAAATGTGTGACAACACCTTCAGATGGAAACCTATCTGGGCAGTCAGCAGTCCCAGCTGCCTAAGGACATGCTCTCTTGCCCCACAGAAGGTTGAACATCAATCTGTGACTGGGTTCTACAGAATCCCCAAATAGAAAACCAATGGAAGCAGAACTGCTCTGGTTGAAGCAAGGAGACAAGAGGATCAAAGAAGGGGCCCAACTTGCCCTTGCCCTCTAAGATTCCACTCCAGGGTGGAAGGAAACTCGACAGACACATAGTACTCTGTAGAGCACAGTTGAAAAACCAAAGGCCTACTGGGCAGGGAGAGGCGGTACAAGGCAGGCTGGAGGGGGTCAATGGGGGATAAAAGGGAACATACGTAATACTTTCAACAATAAAGAATTATTTTAAAAAAAAGAAAAAACCACAGGCCTAGCTGTTCTGTGACAAGTTATAGTGCTTAGGGAGGGAGCTACCTTCAGGGAACAACCTTTAAGTTTAGAGTACAGGCACAGGACCTAACAGATACTTCTCCAAAGAAGACATACAGATGGCCAAGAGACATATGTAAAAATGCTCAATGTCACCAGCAAATTAAAATGACAATGAGGTATCACTTCACACCTGTCAGAATGGCTACCATTAACAAATCAACAAACAAGTGCTGGTGAGGTTGTGGAGAAAAGGAACCCTAGTACACTGATGGTGGGAATGCAGACTGGTACAATCACTATGGAAAACAGTGTGGAATTTCCTCAAAAAAGTAAAAATGGAACTGCCATTTGACCCAGTGATCCCACTTTTAGTAAAATATCCTAAGAATCCTGAAACACTAATCAAAAAGAATATACGCACCCTTATGTTCATAGCAGCATTATTTACAATAGCTAAGATCTAGAAACAGCCCAAGTGCCCATCAGATGAATAGATAAAAAAAGATGTGGTACATTTATACAATGGAATACTGTGCAGCTGCAAAAAAGAAGGATCTCTTACTCTTTGAGACAACACGGAGGGACCTGGAAGGTACTATGCCAAGCGAAATAAGCCAGTCAGAGAAAGAAATATCACATGATCTCATTTATATGTGGAATCTAATGAACAAAATAAACTGACAAACAAAATAGATCCAGAGACATGGAAGCATACAACAGACTGATGATTCAGGGTGGGGGTGGGGAGAGGGGGAAAATTAACCAAAGAACTTATATGCAAAACACATGGACTCAGACAATGGTGTGATGAAGGCCTGGGGAGGGGAAGGGAGTAGGGGGGGGGGTCAATGTGGGGGGAGAAAAGGGGACATTTGTAATACTTTCAATAATAAAGATAAATTTAAAAAATAAAAGAAAAAGATTGTTTAGAGCTAAAATCCAACTCAGTTTTCCCACCTGCACACCCCACCCTCCTAAAGACTGTCCTCCACCCTGCCAATAGCTGCAAAGATAAGGGGCAACCGTCTCAGCTGAAGGGGAAATGGGGAGAAAGGAAAGGAACTGTTAAGAAAACAGGACTCATGTCCTGAAATATTTGGAGTTAGGTAGGAAGAGTTTTGGGAAGATGTCTTGTGGGTCCAGAAGAAACTTAGCTGAAGGGCGGTATGAATAATATTAACTGTTCATGGAGTGCATACTACACACCAGGCCCTGGGATGCAGATGAGAATAAACTTGCTCCACTGAAGCCTCCAGTTCAAGAAAGACATACCCACATTAAACAAACACACACACGAAAACTAATTATGACTGTGTTAAGGGCTACAAACAAGTACCAGGAGCTAAGACTGGGACTCAGACAAGTAAAGATGAATGATGAGGATGGAGAAAACACTCCTGGGATTGGGGTAATATGTGAAAGCTCAGAGGTGAGACTAAAACCAGAGTACCAAGCCTGAAGTTTACTCAAGAACCTTGCAGTCAAACCCAGAAAGAAGTTTGGAAACCTAGGATGAGCAGCAAGCTGGCTCTCCACCCCAGGGGCAAGCTTGTCTGGGTGCCTCTAGGGCCCTGTAAGTGACTGTGCCAGGACCTGTGGGGCACAACCACAGGGAAGGAGAGACTATTCTGGCATTTGCTAACTGACTGGATCCTTTCTCAGAGGACAAATACATCTGGGCACAAACTAGGTGCAGCTCAAAGGGAGGAAAGTTACAGATAGCATGGCTTGTAACAGGTCTGTTTACCAGAACTGAAGAATGGTTGGAGGGAGGCATGAAGAGGGCTCAAAGGATTTTGTTATAGGGGTAGGAGAGAAATAGTGTATCTCCTTAACTGGAACACTGGGTGCCCCTTCAAACCATTCGGTTTCTCTCAGACTCCAAGCATAGTGCTCTTCCCACAAAGCCTCACATCTCGTCCAGAGATCTCTCCTGGGCCCCCAGAGGCAGCCTTGCTGAGGCGCACTGCGATTCTGGGGTCCTCCACTCTCTACAACACCCACCTCCTAGGAACAGGCAGGCCCAGGGCTAAGCTCCTTAAACATGTGACCTCATTCCCAGCTATCCAGGGGGCACTAGTATTATCCCTATCTTACACACAAGGAAACCAGGACTCACAGAGGTGAAGTAACTTGTTCAAGTCATGGAGCCATATTGAAACAAAGCCTGTCTTGAATCTAGAGTCTGTACTCTGAAGCACCTAATTCACTTTCCTGAGACACCTCTGGCCCCTGGCCCTTCTTCCAGGCATTCCTGCCAGGGGCTCTCCTGCCCTAGGCCTGCATGCTGGGCCACTCACTCCTTTCTTCAGAGCTCTTCAATGGAAAGTATTCTTCCCAGCATTTGGGTCCTGGACAACCCCCAGGCCACCTTCCACCCCAAATCTACACTCGAGTTGCCCCCCTCCAGGAGATCCCATCTCTCATGAACAAGTGAGTACCCAATACTAACCCCAAATCTTTCCCCTGACCTCTTTATTCTTCTCATTCTCTTAGCCCCAAGGCCCAGGGTGCCCTCTTTTCAAAGAAATAACCACAAACCCTGGATGCCAGAGCCCTTTCTACTTACTCCTTAACCTCTGTTATCCCCATTCCCCAGTCCTGCTAGAAAGCCACCCCTTTCTAACTCCAGATTTACTCCCTCCCACCCCAAGGTCTCCTCTCTTCAGACAATCACAGATCTATCCTATCCCTCATTCCCAGTCATACCTTCTGAGTGATGCAGAGGTTCCCTGCTACCTCCTCAGCCACACAAACCCTCAATCCCCAGGCACACCTCGTAGGGAGACGCTGGGCCCCAGAAACACTGCCTCCACTCCACCCTAAGCACCCCCCACTTTTTTCCCTCCCTCCACATCGTACACACACTCCCCTTCCCCAGACTGACTAGATCAGCTACACACTCCTGTGCTGGACACAAGCATCCTGTCCCCCGGATACTCCTACGACTTCAAACTCCAACTCCGTATCTGCCCCACCCCAACCACCCTTGTCTTCCATACAGTTAATGCGAGCCCATTCAGCACTGGCCACCGAGTTGTCTGTCCTCAGAGCCTTGCCAGCTCTAGACCTTTAGGTCCCGAGTCCAGTGAAGCATCCTCTCCTCCCTTGCCAGCTTCTGGACACTAGGACTCCCTATGCCTCCTCTAGAAGCCAACCGGGTCTCCAGATTCCCCAACACCAAACGCCCCTGCCTCAGGGTTAGCCTTCGGCTCTGGATCCGAGTCCCCAGGCCACCCTCAGACAGATGTGGGTCCCCCACATCCCCAAATGCTCACCAGCTAAACGCCAGAGCACCCAGTCCTTCAGATTCTCCCCATCGCACGAACCCCTCCGAGTAGGAAATGGGACTTCCCGTTACCCTATCCAGCAGCAAACTCCAGGATCCTCCACCCTCACGGCACTCCCAGCCCCGGACACCCGGTCATGCCTCCCCGAGCCCGGAGAACACGGCTCCCAGGGCCAACCCCCAGGCCGGGCCAGCACAGCCCCCAAGCCCACCCCGCTCCAAACCCTGGGATCACCATTTCCAAGACCGCCCTGGTCCCCAGGAGACAACCTCTTGTCCTTCCGACTCCCTTTCCAGAAACCACGGCTTCGGGTCTCCGAGCCCTAGGCTCCAGAGTCCTCCACAACCGCCCCCACCCCCGGACTTCCCTCCTCTCCGACACTGAGCCCCGACTCCCTGCCTCTCTCCTGCACGGAACGCCAGGACCCACCCGTCGGCTGTCCCGAGGCCCTGTTCCCCGGATCCTTTTCAGCGGCGGGTAGCGGGGCCCCACAGGCACCAGACTCCCGCATCCCACAGCCCTTCCTCGGCCTGGACTCTCGACTCCCCGGCCCCCCGCCCCGCGCACTCTCACAATGTCCGTCCGGCCCCGAGTAGCCGCCAGGTTCCGGATGCGGCTGCAGCCCCGGCGGCGGTGGCTGCGGCTGCGAGGTCCCTTCCAGCTGGGAGCCCCCCTCGGTCTCGACCTCCTCGTTATTGTGCCCAGGTATCCCCGGTTCCTCCTCAGCCTCGAGCTCCCGGTCGTCTTCGGGCTCCTCGGCCTCCAGCGCCGCCTGCAGCCGCTCAGCAAGCTCGGCCTTGAGGCCCCGAGTGTCCAGGCCGCGGCGCTGCAGCTCCTCCCGAAGTTCGTTCACCTTCAGACGGCGCACATCCATGGCCCGGGCCCCCGGGGTGGCCCCCGAGCCCGGCCCGGCCTCCCAGGGCCCTGTCCCCCTTAAACCTTTACTGTCAGGCGGCGAGGGGGAAAGGGGGGGGCTCACTCCAATGGCGGCGGCAACTCAAAATGGCCGCCGCCACCTCCCCCTCCTCCCTGGCTCCATGCTGTGCAACACGGGTGCCAATTGGCCACCGCATTGGGAGCAACGGGCGCGGGCCCGAGACTCGACCAATCAGAAAGTGCCTTTCAAAAGCTGGTCGATGAAAGAGCGCAGGAGCTGCCGGGGAGGAAGCGTTGGCCTACGTCGATTCAGCGGCCCCGTGGAGGGCGGGAAGAGGCGGGAGGCGGGGCGCACGGTGATTGGGTGACGACCCTGCACTCGCTCCCGTAGGGTCGAATGAGGTAAAGGGAGTAAGAATTTAGGCCAATCAGCGATGAGATCTCAGAATGAGCGCGCCTCACAGCCTTTCCTGCGCAGCCCCAGCATTAAACTAGTGTCTCTGTAACACATATCCTGATTGGTCTAAATCTCCCGCCCCTAGAGGAGTCCAAGCGGGTAAACTCACTAGAACCAATGAAGTGGAGGGTCAACAGACACCCCCCTCTTTCACTATTGCCTTTGAGAAACCGGAAAGAGATGAATTCACGAGGGACCCGCCCCTGCCGTTAGGGCGGTTTCAAAACAATCTGTCCACCAATCGCAATTATTGTCTTATCTCACCAAAGCTCGTACAGTTGGGTCGCCTTAGGAAAAACTAACCAGATTGGCTATTCTTCAGCGGATAGCCTTACAAATTTCACTGTGGAGGGAGGTATATGAGCTAGTGATTAAGTAAATAAGTTATTATTTTTTTTTTTAAATGCTCTTATTGATTTCAGAGAGGAAGGGAGAGGGAGAGAAAGAAACATCAACGATGAAAGAGAATCATTAATCGGCTGCTTCATTGATCGACCCACACGGGCTCGAGGGGGCAACCCGGGCATGTGCCCTGAGCGGGAACCCAACCACGATTTCCTGGTTCATAGGTAGATGCTCACCCACTGAGTCACTCCGGCTGGGCTAGATAAGTTATTCTTGATCTGGAAATACTAGTTGACTTCAGTGAGTCCTGAAGGTTTGATAATAGAGGCTAGCAGCGTGAGAAAAGTTGTAAAGGAAATCGCACCCTCTCACCTTGAAAGTAAATCTCAGGGCGCCTCCTGCCACGATTATAGCTTCGCTGCCATCTTCCTCTATGATTGGTATTCCGATGGGTGCTCTGCATGCGACCAAACACCCCCCCCCCCTCCCCCAGGCCTCCAGAAGTTCTCGGGCCTCTACTCCAAATCCTTTAAATTGCTGTTCAGTATATCTGGCTGTTTGGCGTCTGTACTGACAAGCTCAAACACAGGTCGGTGGTAGCTAAGCCTGTGTATTTGAGCTAAATATGAGCGCCAGTTTCACAGTATCTAACCCTGCACCACCTGTCGCCTGGAACTGAACGGACACAAAACGTCTGTAAGATACACAACTGAGATACACATGTAAAAGCCGGCTGCCCACTGAGCCTTACCTTAAACCCACAAAAGCCACACACAACCTCTATGTAGACAAAGGCACACACAGCACAGATAAACATGTGACGGCGAGACCAGGTCACATGCATCAATTCAAGGGACAATACACCAAACTGCAGTGTAGATATGCCCACTAAGATCCGCACCGGCAGGAGGCGCCAAATGATAAAGGCACGGGGTATATTTCAACACAAGCTTACACTACAGCAACCTAGACACACAGCACCCACTCAGAAGCCGGACAGTCACTCACGTGGGCCCGGAGGTTCCAATCCAGACACCCCGCCCCTGATCAACGTAACGTCTGACTTCCTCTCTCCTCCCAGCTTCCCACAGATTTATCCTAAAAAAGTTTGTGGCCCAGATTGAACTGTTGTCAGTGTCCAGGAGCTGCCACCGGGGGGCGTCCGGGCGCTGCCAAGGGCTCCTCCATTTGCGGTGGGACACACCCAGGAACTTGTGTCCGCCCTGCATGCAAAACAGCGTGGGCTTGTCTGGCAGGAGTTCCTTTGTGGGCTGGAGATTATTGGCGATATCCTGTGCCTGTGTTGCTATGTGAATCTGAATGTTTGGGTCTGTGAGTACCTGTTGTACTCTGTCTCTGTGTAACTGTACTCTTTGTGTCACTTTAGTTTCTTCCTAATGTTGGTGAGTATCTGCCTGTGCATCATGTTTGTTTGTATCTATAATTTTGTCTCTGTTGCTCTATGTGTCTGAATTTCAGTATCTCTGTATTTGTGACCAGGTGTATGCCCATTAATGGGTGTCTCTATGTGACCCTGTATTTATGTGCCTATTCCTCAGTAGGGGTTTTGGAGAGTCTGCTTTTCTTTGTGTGACTTTTTGTCTATGTGCATGTTCATTTCTATCTTCTTTAAAAGGGGAGAACTCCTGGATCCCATCAAACCCTTCTTTTTATGATGGGGAAACTGAGTTCCAGGGAGACCACATGATTGTGGAGAGAGACAAGAGATAGAAATGTGGTTACAAAGTTTTATGTGATATAAGCCCCTTTGGAGGTGTCAGAGTCCACACTCTGTACAGGGGGATATGAGGGACTGGCTCAGGGTGCGGGCAGCATGGCCCAAAAGGAGGAAGATTGTCCCCTGGGGAAAGGAGGCATCCCTCATGCATTGCACAGGCTTGAGGGGGGGCAAACCCCACATGAGGGGAGGAGGAAGCAGAGGTGGCTCGGGAGGGTCACATAGAAGAATACTATAAAGTTAGAACCTTGGAACCTTGGAGTTCAAGACCTGTAGACCTTTAAAACCTTACATTTGAATTTTAGAACTGCAGTGCCTAGAATCTTAAGATTTAGAATCATGGATTCTTGGACCCTTAACTAAAATCCTAGAAAGGCAGAATGCAACATAGAGCCTAAAGGTGTCCAACATTAGAAATTATTAGAACTTTGGTATCTAGTTAATCACAACTAACTGTAGAGTCTTATACCTTTGATGCTGAGGATCCAGAATCTTGGACCAATAGAATCTAGAGTGCCTTGGAATATAGAACTTAACATTAAAATCTTAGATTTTAATAATCTAGGACCTTGAAACATATGATCCTGAATCTTAGACACAGAGAATCTAGGTTCTTAGACTAAGTCTTAGAACATCACACCTGAGAACATTAGACTTTAGAACCTCCATCTATAGATTCTTAGAACTTTTGAATTGCAGAATCTAGAATCTTAGACCTTTAGGATTCAGAATCTCATAACAAGAGCTTCAAGAATCATAAAGCCTTAGAAACTCTAATTGACCATCATTAGAATCTTATTTTTTTAAAAATTTTTTTAAAAAATTAATTTCAGAGAGGAAGGGAGAGGGAGAGATAGAAACATCAATGATAAGTGAATCATCAATAGGCTGCCTCCTGAATGCCCCACACTGGGGATCGAGCCCGCAACCCCGGCATGTGCCCTTGACCAGAATCGAACTGGGACCCTTCAGTCCGCAGGCTGACGCTCTATGCACTGAGCCAAACCAGCTAGGGCATCATCATTAGAATCTTAGAACTTGAAAGGATAAAATCTTGAAGCCCTTATGCTCTAGACTCAGCGGTTCTCAACCTGTGGGTCATGAACAATGAAAATACATCCTGCATATCAGATATTTACATTACGATTCATAACAGTAGCAAAATTACAGTTATGAAGTAGCAACGAAAATAATTTTATGGTTGGGGGTCACCACAACATGAGGAACTGTATTAAAGGGTCATGGCATTAGGAAGGTTGAGAACCACTGCTAGAGTCGAGTCAGCCAGGGGATTTACACTCTAAGAGGCTTAGAACATCAAATTTTAGAACATTAGGCCTTAAAACCTCTATGTCTAGAATTATAGAATTCTAGAACCTAGAGTCTTATATCCTAAGGAAAATGAAATCTAGCATCATTGAGTCTTAGTTCCTATGCCTAGAATCATAAAACTTTAGAACCCCCAAACTTACAGATTTTATCAAGAATCTTAAAAACAGGAAAATCTAGGGCCGTAGAATCTCAGAACTTGCAAATACAGACCTTAGCGCTTTCATGCCTAGAACCTTAGCACTTTAAAATTAGATAATTTGGAATTTCAGGTCCTTAGAACCTAAGACTCATAACCTCTTTGAAACCCCGAACCTAGGCTCTTTAAACCTTAGAATCCAAAATCTTGGAATGTTAGACTTAGGAGGACGCTTAGGGATTGCAGTCCAACCCCTTCCTTTTACACACGGGGACACTAAGATGTGGAAAGCGAGAGGATTTGTGGGAGATGGAAGTGGAATTGGTAGGAAGAGAGAGCTGCAGTTGTGAGTAAGATCTGGAATGGGAACGTAGGTGGCAGTGCCTAGCTTGGGTCCTGAGAGGAAGTCCCAGGCAGAGGGTTGTCTCAGGCTCCATCCTCCTGCCCTGGTGGTGCTGGGGAACCCCTGTCAGCAGGTAGGGTGGGGCCAGGGGCTGTAGAAGGGCAGAGGACATAGCGCCCAGCAGGATGGACCTCAGCCGCGGTGAGGCAGCTGCAGGAATCCTTAGGGTCAGGCTGGTTTGGGGGGTCAGCTCCTCCAGCAGCTCCAAGTGGTTCAGCATGACTCCCACCCTCATCCATGTTGACATAGAGGATTTCATCAGGCTCCTGGGCAGGTGGCAGGGTCTTTAGTGTGTTCTCCAGATCTTCCCGTAGCTGTGAAAAACTTGGCCGGTCCTGGGGGTTTAGCTCCCAGCACTGGGACATCAGGGCATACCTAGGACAGCAGAGTGAGGGGTGAGAAACTGAGCAGGGACTTAGAAGGGGAACATTCTGAGAGTTAGGGGGAAATTGAGGACACTCAGGGGACCAAGGACATTTCATGGGGCTGGAGGGAACTATTACAGTTGGGGGCATCTATGGGGACTGAAGACTTCTCAAGAGTTTCTGAAGGATTTCTGGGACACTTGGGAGCTGGAAAGAGTATTGGAAAACCTCTCTACGGATGGGATGGTATTCTAGTGATAGTTTGCTACAGCAGAGCTTTCCAGTGTGGCTCCCCAGAACAGACTGGCATCAAAGACTTGCAAGCTGTGTTGATTTAAAATATGTGCTCAAATTCTTTGACATTCTTTTTT